CCCTTGGTAGAGTGCTGCCGCATCACAGCCCACAGCAACCTCAAACTCTTGGGCTCAAGCGTTCCCTTGCCTCAGCATCCCAAATAGCTGGGACTACAGGCACCCACCACAACACCTGGCTATTTTTTTGCTGCAGTTGTTTGGCTGGCCTGGGCCGGGTTCAAACCAACTACCCTGGGTGTATGTGGCTGGCGCCATATCCACTGTGCTATGGATGCGGGTGCCGAACCCTGTTCCTCTATTTCTAAAAGCACAGTTTTATACATAAAGGTTACTTTAAATAATAATCAGCATACCTCAGTCACCTATTACAAGAGTCAATTTCCTAAATCAATCTTCCTAAAGTATTCAAGTTGGGCATCTTTAGGGTGGGAGCTTAATTTACAAAACAATGAGAGACAGAAGGTGAAGGTCACTTAGGGCCTAAAATGGCCAGAAGAGCTGTGTCATGTCTGCCCTAGCCTGACAGACTCCATCTTACTCTCACTACAAATGCTTTCAAAAGTACTAAAAGGTCAATGGCAGGAATTGAGGTCATCTGGAGATGAGCAACTGCAGGAAGCCAATCTCACCTCCAGCCTAGATGGGAAAATAGTATTAAGCAGGGGCCACCACTGACCCTACAGAAACCCAGGTGCCTGAAATCACCTGCTGACTCAACTGTAGAAGCAGACAGCTGGAGCCAGAGGGGCTGCAAGAGGCCACACTCCACTGCTGCTGCTCCAGGACCCTCACCATTAAGCTAGAAGCCTGCAACCTAAACGGAGCTGCTCCCACCGGATGTGCAGTCAAGAGTTTGGGGTGGGGGTAGGGTCCCTCCTTTCTTCTTGCAGTCTGTTGCTAATACCTCCCATTGGAGGGTGTGGGGGGCTAAATGCAGTTTGCTGACTCCCCACATGCAAACAACTAGCACAAGTACAAACACCAGCTCTGAGGTAAGGGATCCCAGGCAGGCTCACAGCTTAATGTGACAGTCATGCATGACATTTGCCTCCCTATAGTCTATCTTTTCTGGTCAGCTGGGCAGAGCAATCTGAACTCTCAGGTCCACATGGTTCATTTCAGCTAGGAGAGTCACTGCCCCAGGAAAACAGGAAGAAAAGAAGAGAAGGAGGCCAGTGGTAGCGCACACATGGGAGCACTCTGGGAGGCTGAGACAGTAGATTGCCTGAGCTCACAGGTTGGAGACCAGCCTGGGTCAGAGCAAGACCCCGCCTCTAAAAATAGCCGGGCATTGTGGCAGGTGCCTGTACTCCCAGCTACTTGGGAGCCTGAGGCAGGAGAATCGCTTGGGCCCAAAAGTTTGAGGTTGCTGTGAGCTATGATGCCAGGACACTCTACTGAAGGCAACAAAGTGAAACTCTGTCTAAAAACAAAAAAGAAGAGAAGGCAGAGAAGGAATGCTTGGAACAGGGGCATTTCTGATATTGGTAGCCATGCTTGTAATGGAATCTTCTGGTTTACTAGGTTTAATTTTCTCACTTTCTAACCTTTCCCACACCATCACATTGGGAGAAAAATACTCAAAGGCTATGTCTCAGTTAAAGGCCTGTCCTCTTCCTAGCCCTGGGTAGGTAAAAATATAGGATACCAAATAACTAGATCTCTCTCAGTCCGGAGAATAGAAACTCAGGAACAGTTTTCAGTTGTTACCTGGCTTCTGGTACTTCGAAGTGCCTCCCTACTCTGGCCCGTGTTATTACTATCACTAACTGCAGGTATTGTGTGCCATGCATCACCTCTAATCCTTACCACAACCCCATAGGGATTTCTCATTTTACAGACTAGAAAGCACAGAGAGACTAGAGAGTGTGCCTATGGTCACTCAGCTAAGAAGAGGCATAGCCAGTGTTCCATCCCCAGCCTTAGGGTCTCACTGCTTTTTTCCCCATGAGTAAAGCCTTGGGGACAATAGTTGGTC